ATTTTAGCAACGACCAAGACTTCTACGAAGCTAAGGAATTTGCTCATACAATACGCTCTACGGATGACAGTAAGGTATACCGCTTCTTCGCTTTATTTGGATACAATAACGTAAGAAGAGGTAATGGTCTAGGTGATTGTGGTTGCGATGGGAAAAAATCTGGATGTTGCTCGACTTAGTCAGCTTAGCTATGGAGATGGATTTACTTTTGCAGCAGACTATGATAACCTAGCCAGCTTGGTCCCAGCGATTAATAAGGCTATCTGTGCAGATCAGTCGACTTCCTGCGGGCCGTGATTTTCGCTACAGATTGAATGAATATGTTGTGATTGCTGCATTATATAAATGACTTATAAGTATTCTAATAGATCACCATCACTAATATGGAATAATGGAAAGATTAACTACTTATTTCTTTCTTTCTAACTCAATAATATATAAAATTAAGGGAAATCGCGAAGGGAATAATTTCCCAGACAACATGAAAATCCGACGAAATTTTCGTTTTTTCATATTTCTGTTTCATCTCTCACTTGAACATATTATTAGGCTTCTTTATCTGTCTTTATTTAAGGGGAAATTTGCAATCTAGTCTCCATGGAAAGCCCTTTGTCCAGTAAGAAGTCGTCCTTTTATCCAAGCTTTCCTTTACAGAGCTTCAGCTCTACTACAGTTAGCTCATAGTTGATTCACAAGGGAAGCATACTATCGGGTAAATGGAGATATGTCTGCGTAGTTTTTAGAAAACATGTACCGTTGACTGATATTAGAATGTGAAACCAACAATTGAAAAGGATGAGGATCAAAGGCAAAGTTCACTTAAAAGGCCATAGAAAGAACCTTGGTTGCAATTAAAAACTACTTAAGAAAATAATTATGGGATAAAAATGGGAATTACTTAGAAACCATTATGATAGAATGAAAGCATGATAGTCTGTAAAACACTAACCAAGGAACAACAAAGTGGTATTCCTCTTCTATTCAAACATGGATTTCCGATTATGGCGAGTAGTAATGTCCCCTCAACGGAGATCACCTAAAGATAGGGTCAGGTGAACTCACTCCAAGGCAGGCAAGGTACAGGGGAACAATTGATTGCAAAGATCCATGCAGTGTTGTACATGTCTTACCTTTTATCTCTGTTGTTTCATACCGTTCATCTCGTTTATCACTTAAGATTTCCATCTTTCAATAGATTGTACTTTTAATTTGTGCATATTCATCAATATAGGAGGGAGACATGCAACTCTGTTGTCCTATATTACCTTCACGTAGTGTCTCGCACACTTTCACGGATTGATATAGTGGTTAACATGGCGGCCACCGAGCAACTGGCCATGGTTCGTATTCGCTCAAGGTCAAACTGTTTTGC